GAACAATAATGGAACAATAATGGAACAAAGTTCCCTCCATAATAAAGTTCCATTGAAAGCGTCCAAATGTGGAGAAGCAGAGGTATATGGATACTTTAGGTTTTTAAACATAATCCTCCATTTTCTCTATGTCTCTAATTTAAACCACACTTCTTCGTGTGTTTTTAGTGTCAAGGCTTTGCCAAGTGATTCGCCCATCAAGTGTTTGTAGCTTTAGCCTGGGAGCTGCTTCCTGATTGGCTGCTGGGAGCAGTACGGGTCACAGTAGATGTCGGCGTACAAGCCGGCTCATTCAGTTAAAGGAACAGAGCTCAGCTTTCATCTCACACACATGTTGAGCTTCTGAGGGACCTGCTCTGATCCCCGGGTGCCATGGCCGGATCTGTGTCGCTGCTCGGTTACAAACAGGTTATCCTCATTTTTTCACTTCTCTATGGTAAGTTTTCACATTTCTTCTCAATATGTCAGTGGAGAGATTAGAATTTCCAATGGGATCAGAGGTTTTACTGGACCTTATGTTTAGTAGGTGGCTGTCGTCTGGTGGAAGCAACTCGCTGTGACTCAAGTTGTTCTGGTGAGATTTTACAGCACAAAATAAACCCTCGAATATTAAGAAAAACAAGTCAAATCATTTGAAGACTGGCAAACAAGGATTGGATGTGTTGATCTCTACACCTTCAGGATCTCAACACACTGACTTCTCAGGTCAGAAAGGAGTGAGATACACCTACAGGTACAGCACATCTATCACCACCACCCTCCATGGCTCACACGGTGGCAGGAACGGCCTGGCCCTGGACTGCCTGGTGGATATCCAGGTGGTCTCCAACTGTCACCTAATGATGCAGGTCGGCTTTGGCTCCAAGATGTTCTTTGGTTTTCTACACTGGAAAAAACATCTAGAGATTAGTAAAAATGTCTTAAATTAAGTGTATTTACCCTTAATTTGAGGTAAATTAGGTAGTTTGCCAATGGAATGAGTATTTTTACTCTTAAAATAAGATAATAAGATAATATGCATAAGACAATGCAATTGTGTTTTCTTATTTTAAGTATAAATTGTCTTGTTCCATTGGAAAAATGTCTCTTTTACCTCAATCCAAGAACAAATGCACTTCTTTTAAGAAAAAAGGACTTATCTAGATTTGGATTTTTTCCGGTGTAAAAAGCACAGAGCGTTGTGGTTTTAAGCGTCTGCTTTTCCGACAGATAAGGAGCTCCCAGATAAAGCGTCTCTCCCCTCAGAGGGAACACTCTGTCCTGCATTTAAAAACTTTGAGGTAACACCCTGTCAACGTTTCGGTTGCTGCGTACAACCGGCAACTTTACCGGATCCTTCTGATTTCTATCCTTTATTGGTTCAGATGTGGCTCCTCTGTTTGTTCTCTTGTCTTGGGAGGAAGGATGAGGGGGGGGGGACTGCTCATCTGGTGTTTTTGTTTCCCAGGGAGTCACTGGAGAAAACACGCCTCAAGTTCTCCCTCCAGGGGGGGAAGGTCACAGCCGTCTGTCATCAGGAGGGGGAGCCGGTGTGGGCCCTCAACATTAAAAGGGCTCTGCTGAGCATGCTCCAGACCTCCCCAAAGGTCTCCAAATTCAAAGACGAGACTGAGGTGAGACAATATTCAACCTGCTACACTGGAAAAAATCACAATCTAGATAAGTCATTTTTTTCTTAAAATAGG